TATGCCTCGTTACGAGTGGCCACCAGACCCGCCGACCTCACTCCTCCGCCCTGACAAACCCCTCGCCGCGAGGTGTATGGAAGGTGTGAGAGTTTTCTACTCTTTATTTTGTATACTTGTCTTTACAAATAATTTTTGAAAATAAGTAAAAAATGGAGTAACACTGTTCTATTATAGAATGAATTGCAACAAGGCATATTTTTATGCCTCGTTACGAGTGGCCACTAGGCCCGCCGGCCTCTCTCCTCCGCCCTGCCAACCCCTCGCGACGGGGCGTATGAAAAGTGTGAGTGCGATTTCTCTTTTTTCTTTGTACTTTTATATTTTCTTTTATTATTATTCGCGCGCCCCTTTTCCCCCCCGGCACCGGCATGAAGATCAGCGGCCAAAGAAGAAGCATCCGCGGCCCCGGGCGCGGGGAAAACCCTAACCCGAGAGATGGAGCCCATCAACGGAAGCCGCCTGCTGACCGGTCGCCGAGCCACCCGTCCACCTCTGCGGGGGCGACCGGCAGCCACCACCGAGGGACGCCAGGCCTGGGGACGAGCCACCCCAGCTGCCACCCGAAGGGGCCCCAGGACCTGGCCGAAACACCACGTGGCCCATCCCTGGCGCCGAAATCCTCGGGGAGGGGGAACTCCGCGCACCGAGGACCCGAGCCGCGGATACGGAGGTAGAAGTTAGCGAGCCGCGACGTGAGCGCCTTAAATTCCGCCGTGTCCCAAGTTACATCGAGTTTTCTTCTTGCTGTACCCTGCCACTTCCGTTTTTCTTTTTATTCTCTTCTTTTTTTTCGTGTGTGTGTCAAAGACTGTGTAGGCCCGCCCGACGGAGGATAACGACGCCCGTCCGAACGCGAATTGGAAAGGTAGGGAGGATCTTTGCCTTCCGTGAGATCTTTGAGCGTGTGTGAGAGCGTGTGTGCGTGTGGGTGGTTCCTAGCGATAGGACCACCAAACCCCGGCGTTGAGGACCCTAGGGACCGTCTTCGCGGAATATCTCGCGTATTTGTTTGCGTCACCCTTTTTTCGCGATTCTGGGCCGCTGACCCCAGTTCGGGTTATCTTTTTCTTTGCATTTTACATTTAGGCCCAGCGTCCCCTGTGCTGTCCACGACCTCCAAGAGGGCGTGCTCCCAAAACGTACCGCGTTTTCTTTTCGTTTCCGATCTTGTATCTTTCGCGTGTACCGTGAGCCCTCGTGTCGCGATATCTTTGCCGCAATTAGCGATCGTGACCCAGTTCCCTTACCGAACTTTGTACCACGAGGGGCTCGTTCGCGTTCTTCTCGAAGGGCTAGCTTCGGCCCTTAATAAAGCTAAAGTTATCTTAGATACTCGCGGATTCTCTACTTATTTTCTGTCCCCCCTTGAGTACCGCTCCCGGAAGAGCTGCCGGAAGGGCGATTCCCCCGGACGCGTGCGTTGCACTGGCGCCCCTTTAAAGATATCGTCCGTGGGTGTGCGTATCGGGACGTGGAGGACCATTTTCCCTGGCTGCCCTCCACCTCCAGGACTTTTCCTTTCGTCCCTCCCACCGATCCGTCACAACGTATCCCCTATTTTTGTCTATAGTTTACGTACACGGAGTTGCAAAAAAATAAATCAACATTTAGTGCAAAAGTTTAAACAAAAATTGTAAATTTTCAAAATATTATTTAAACAAATAAAGTTTATTGAAAATTTTTTCCGCACAAAAACTGCCTATTAAAAGACCAACAATTTACAAAAAAAAGAATCCAATTATCTTCTTTAATTCCGGAGATATTCCCAAAAATATGATTTCCACCCCCAACTTCGAGGGCTATTTTCACCCCTTCAATATGCACGATTGCCGATAAAAAAAAATACGTGTCAAATATTTTTTTGAGAACTATATTTCACATAAGTTTCATCAAAATCGGCGTGTCGGAGTAGGATATGTTCCCCTGTTAGTCTTTTTCCATCTTAAATCTGTTCGAGTTATTTCTACATACCGCGAGCAGAGCGCCTCAGCGCTCCACGGGTTAAGGGGGTGGTCCCGTTTGAGTCTTTCTCGCATATGTAATAATGTGTACTGAAAGTTGTTATGCCATTATAAAACATTTTGACATACCATAACTGATTCCTGTTCTTCTAAAGCTAAAAACACACTTGCCCTGAGTTCCGCCTATAACATTATAAAACATTTTAAGACAAGACAAATCAAACGGAGAATAAATTAAAATTTTAATAAACGAAAATTCTGATATGATTCGTGTAACCTACAGAAAACGTGTATTGTTTTAAATATTTTTATATCATACCCGCACTTTTGCCAGGACACCATTATTCTCAAGGGTTTGTACCACTAAATCTCGTAATTCGGTATCCTCCTCCATGGAAATATTGCCGTCTATCATGATTATAAATAAAAATTACTCTCGCAAACACTCAAGAAATGTAAATATTTATGCTTTCCATCGCGTGTCTTCTTTCCACAAATGTTTATCTAGAGATTATTTTTTCGCTGTCTAGGGAATTTAAACGTAGAAATTTTGAAAAAGGAAAAAAATGCTGTATATACTTCGCCCGCCAAGAGAACATACTCATTATCCGACCAGTTTTTGTATAGTTCTGCGCATGTCTGTTCTAATTGGTTCGAGCATCCTTCGTAACTAAGGATAACGCGCAGGCGTCTTTATGACTTTTACAGTGTTGTGCGTATGTACCCAGTGGGTTAAAAGTTTTGTAAATGTTGAGTGGCAAAAAAAAGTGGTCAGACACTAATCTGATAATTAAGAATGGCACGAAATTAATTAAATTCATAAATCGAATTAAAAAGATATATACAAAAAAGAAATAAAAATAAATAAGACAAAATCTAAATAAACTTGATTATGTGATGTATTATAATCTTTTATGAAGATAAAAATTTTGTACAAAATCTCTTTTATTTTATAAGTATTTACTTCTCGTAATATCACATTTTCTTTTTATCGATATACATGTTTTGTCTACTATGTGTATAACTGATGAATGAATTGAAAACGTAGGATATTGGAACAACAATAACTGGTGGGAAACATACTGAAGTTACTTGAGTTGCGCGACTCAAGTACGTCCTTTCGGGCAAACAAGCTATACATTTGTAACGCGAGCGTACTTACATGGTTATCATCCTGAATACAGTTAATGTAGTATGGCGACCCGGCCGTGAGAATATTTACAGAGCGCGTCTGTATTTTGTTATATCGATGACCATAAATTAAGAGCGAAATTTAAACCATCTGAGCGTGCGATCATGTACAATAGACAAAGCTTATATTGTTAAAGCCACTCGACGTGGATGTTCATGCTAGGAAAAGTTTGGGAATCCAGAGAATAAACTTAGCTTCACTTCGAATGTTTGTAGGGATTAATTTATTAGGGACCGTATCGAATTCGTTGTTTTCGACTAAGTCGCGTTCGGTTCTTGAAAGCTTCGAGGTCTTCTACGAATATTCTGTCTTTTCATGCACTCGAAGAGGGTCGTAAATTTTCACCTAGTACAAAGACTTGTTTGTTTTCCGTCTTCTCTGTGTTCCACGCTTTCTCTAAGCACATGTGCGCTGTTACGTTCCCGCGTCTTGGCGGAGCCTCCACCACCACGCGGCTGAGGGTGGACCACAGCCAGGAGAAGGGGCCCACATCGGACGGGGTGGACTCCTCCACCATTGGACAAGGGATAATCCTGAGGGAGGATCCAGGATCCAGCGAGAAAGGGGCATCGATCCGCATCACCCGAAGATCTCTTCCGCCAAGCGCAGAACGAGCAGACTAATTTCATATTTCATACGCTCCAGTTTGCTCTTGTAAAAAGTACATTGTCAGTTATCGAATAAATAGTTGGACTTAGTTTTTTCTCATCTTAAATCTGTTCGAATTATTTCTACATACCGCGAGCCGGCGCCTCAGCGCTCCACGGGTTAACTTACCCACATCCTAAAATCCCTAGACCGCGAACGGTAAACGCAACACTATAAATACATAAGTATTTCAACTAAAACCTATTTTGACTAATCTTTCTTCGGTCCATTTTCTCTACTAGTTCTAACAAATAAATATCTCTCTCACTTTTAACAGTATCATTACAGGTACTTTTGTAATTGCCAGTCTTATCGCACTCCTTCATACTGCATCCTCTCCTCTCTTCACCTTTCCACCCTGTTTTCCCTTTTAATATCACATTGCACTGTACCATTATGGTACTCTTGAACATTTTACCCGTACTTATCTTAACATTAATTACATTGCTTTTTATTTCTTCCCTTACCCCTTTATGGATCATTTCTCCCCTGTCTATACTTTTATTCCGCATTTTTTTAAAAACGCTCCAATTAATCTCAGAGGCTTTGCCTCCCCCAGCTTCTTATTTTCGAAGAAGTCTTTCTCCCCATCTAAATCGCACACTCGCATCAACCTTTTAAAATTCACCCTCTCCCTCTCATACTTCTCGCATTCCCATAAAGCGTGATCAATATCTTTTATCCTATCACAAGTATCACTGTAAGGATTCTCAACCATGTATTTTCTAAAAAGTGACCACTTTAAATTATAATGATTGACCCTCAACCTACCCAGTCCACATACCGTTTTCCTATCCAGCTCCCCCAAATTCCTAAACCACGGAAAGTCCGTCCCCACATTATTCCATTCCGCCTCAAAGTACCTCCTCCCATTGTATTCCCTCTGCCTCAAATGCTTTTCCACCGACCTCGTCCATACTCTCTCCCTAACTGTTCTCTTAAAGACCCTCAGGGTAAACTTCACCCAAAAGTTCTCCTTCCCTATCCTTCCCTGTTGCTTCCTTCGCCACCCTATCCGCTCTCTCATTTCTTCCTTCGACTCCCACATGCGCGGGTATCCACGTCACTCCTATCCTTCCCCTTTCCTCTCCTTCCTCTCCCATTCTATAATTCCTTTTCCTAATCTTATTCCTAATTCTATCCACTTCATCTCTCACCTCCTGACCGTCAATATTCACCGCTATCCTCCTAATTGTGCTAAGGGAATCCGATAGGATTAATACATCCTTTCCCTCAAACCTCTCCCCCGCTATGTCCACTGCCCTACCTATAGCCAGCATCTCGATGGTATACACTGAACATTGGCTTGGAGCAGTGAAACTTTCCTCCTCCCATTCCTCCGTTCCTCTCCTAATAACTATCGCTCCCCCTCCGCTCTTCCTACACTCTAATTTTGAACCGTCGGTGTATATTTCTATCACCCCTTTTATCCTCTCAAAGAGTTTCAACTTAATTTCTCTTACCAGTATAACTTCTTCTTCTCCCATAAATGGGTACTCGACCCCAATTTCCCAATCTAGGCTATTTTCTAACTTGTACCCTCTCTATCCTCCTACCTCTCTTTCCCTTTCTCTTCTACTCATACCTACTTTAACCTCCTCAAACCTCCTCCAAGCGTCCATTAGTATATCTCTTCCCTTCTCTATGTCCTCCGGATCGCTATTCTTTATCCTCCTTTCCAGCGATCCCATTACTTCTTTCCTATGTACCACTCAGCCAGCACTCCTATTCTTATCCCCATGTTCATTACCCCCGCCTCCGTCTCCATTACATTTATCGGTGTCGACATTCTGTATTCCATTGCGATCCTTATTCCCGAGTTGTGTATGTAAGCGTGTGCTATGCGAGATATATATATATATAAATATATATTAGGAATTATTGCCAATCGTCGCTTGTTTTAACGGACGAGAGAGCCGATGACCGGGAGCCAGTCGTCAGTCGTTAACGGTTGCCCGAATAAATACGTTTACACGGATTCTTGAATTTTTATTTAAGCCATCCTTACAGTTTAGAAGTGGGATAAATCGAATTTTTTTTTTGAGGAACAAGTCGCGAAGTTTGCCGCGATTGTTCGAGTTATTTCGATATTCCGGGTTTTGTGGACATTATGTGAAATACCTGTGGTTTTTAAGACTTTTGTGCGTTTGAGAAGATCGGTGATTGATAAACGGTGTTTTATATTACGATAATTTACGGTGTTGAAGAAAGACAGTACGATGTCGAAGAAAATCGAAGAACTCAACGATTTCGCGGTTGCAGAGTTGAAGTGTCTTTTGCGGGTGAGAAATTTTAAATCCTCGGGTGCAAAGGCCAAGCTGTTAACGCGGTTACAAACAGCGATACCGGACTGGAAGGACCTAATTCCGGCTTTTGTGGAAGAATTGCGCGTGCAACTAGACGTTCCGTAGGAACGGAATACAACCTTGGAACAAGATAAAGCAATTCTTGACCAAGACGATTGCCCAGGTGGTGATGTAGTAGAAGACTCTCGTCTCAGTGCCCGCGAATGAGATCTGCTTCGTCGCGAGAAGGAACTATTAGAACGCGAACTAAGACTTTTACGTTCCGAAAGGGAAGTGCATACACCGCGGTCCGACGCTAGCGAGTTTTCCGCGCGCGGAGTTAATGTTCGACATGTGGCCGAGATGTTGAATGAATTTTCTGGTGACGGGGACAGTTTTGCGAATTGGCAACAACAAGCCACACTGTTACGGGAAACATACAACCTTGACGAGAATTCGATGAGGTTAGTGATTCACCAATGTTTAAAGGGAAAAGCGTTGAATTGGTTCCGTGCGCGTGCAAGCAACATTTCTTTGAGTGTATCAGAAATTTTCGAAAGGTTGCGAAATTTATTTGATCATCGGCCAAATAAACTAGAATTACGACGAAAATTAGAGGATCGCGTGTGGAAGAAAAACGAATCATTTGCTGACTATTTTTATGATAAATTAACTTTGGCCGAGGATGTGCAAGTTGACGAGGAAGAACTGATCGACGTGATCATTGATGCGGTGTCAGACGTCGAATTACGGAACCAGGCGAGGATGCACTGTTTCTCGTCGACCGACCAAATACTGAAGGCATTTTCAAAGTTGACGTTGGATCCTTCTAAAGTAGATCGAGAAAAGAAGGAGGTAAAAAGAAATACATCAGCAAGGGCGGACGAAAGTTCAGGGCATCGGCGGGCAGAGTTAAGGTGTTATAATTGCAATACGGTGGGTCACCGAAGGATAGATTGCCAGCAGCCGTTGCGGGATTGGGGCTCACGCTTTAGGTGTGGGAGTCGGACATACGGGATCGGCAATTGTCCAAGGAATCAGCAGACACCGGTAGCAACGCATACTTTTCCGGCCGCTGCATCTTCGACCCGTGGCTCTTCGTCAACGGCAGCACGGGGCTCCTCAGCATCCGCAATGACGAACCTGGTGCAACCGACGTCGCCGTTGTCACGTGGAACGAACACGATATTTTTTCAAACGACGCGAAACTAAGTCCGTAGACGCGAGATTTCGGTCATAGGTATTATATATTACACTTTTACTGTTAGAATGAACCTCTATTCATGGCCCACAGGCCCTTATATATGGATGGGAGTTTTTGTGGAGGGGTCTTATCGGTTTCGGGGTTTGCTTGTTGACTTGAAACTAGTGGCCGCTGAGTAATGGTTGTTGATGATGCTGTTGGTGACTCAGGCTGTAACAAAGTTCGGGGTGACTCGATGTTTGAGTGAGTGCGTCACATTCCCCTCTTCTTAGACTTTTTGGGTCTCTCAAAACGTACATATTTCCGGGCTGGTTGAACTTGAACAATGTTGTCTTCTAGGACTGGTAGATTTCTGGCTGTGATGTCGGCATATTCGCTGTATCCAGGAGCTGATACAGTTGATGATGTGGAATGCAATTCCTGTGTTGCATTGGCGGTAGGGCAACATATGTTGAGTGTAAAATATGTAGGTAACACGCTTGATTCACCTTACACACCTAACAATGAATGTCAGAAATTATATTATATTTTGAAAATCGCATGTTACAGATACAGTCTATTTAAGTAGGTTTTCGAGTTTTCGTCCGCCATAAAGGATCCTTTATATTGAATTTTGATTTCAGATTTCCATTCAGTAACCTAAAAAACCGATATATTAAAACGATCGAACAGTTAAGAGATACAGTTTTGCAAGGTGTTTCATGTGTAGTGCCGAACGAGCGCGGTAATTTAGGAGTTACTTACGTCCCAAATATTTATGTAAAAAAAAAAAAAAAAAAACGTGTTCTCTAATTAACTTTCCTCTTGAAGTTTTAATAGATTTTATTTCGATCAGATCAAAACCGATTTTTTTATAGCAAGAAATTGGTCGCTTTGGGGTATTTCACCCCCTAATTTTCACTCCCCTTCCAACATACCTAGGCCAATTTTTGTCTTCTATCGAAAGATACTTTCATACCAAAAATCATCAAAATTGCTTCACTGATCTCGAAAATATCGCAATTTTTCCATTTTACTCTCACACTTTAGGGGGTTGTTTCATACCCTAAGTATGTTTTACCGCAGCTAAAAAAAAATACGTGTCCCCTAATTTTCCATGTACTACAACATATCCAAATTTCATGGAAATCGGAGAGTGACACTTGGGTAGGTTTACTTGTTAGT